TCCTGATTTGTGCTCAGCATCTCAAAACTGTTGATTGTAGGTCTCATGCCTCAATTTTTCAGTCTGAAATTCTTATTTGGGGTCCAACAACTGGCATATAGTGTATTTGGCTGTCCAAGTATATTGTATGTTCAAAAGGTTTTTATAACTGAATTCATGCTTATGTTAATTTGCATCAGGCTCATCCTGAGGTTATTAACGTAGGTACAGGTCCTTAGGCAGTGCTCATCTCTCTTAAGGACTGATTTTTGAGGTGGAGATTTAGCTCCTTGCTGAGAGAGCTAAATCTCACTTTTGTTCAACAACTTGTTTAGCTAAGAATCTGATTTTTTTATTTTGATCTGAGCAATTGTTCCTAATTCCACCAGACAAGCCTGCTACTCCATTTGATAACCACAAACCTTTACCTGAACTTCTCTCTCCTTCTTTGATCTGTTCTCATTGTTTCTGTTAAAATCTGTTTTCATTACGTAGTATTAGCACCTTTTAAACAACCCCCCCTAATGTACCCCACCATGCATCACCAAAGGGTGAGCAAAATCAGGAGTTATTGCTTAATTGTTATAATCCTTATTGGGTTGAATTCATTCCTTCTTTCCATCAAAAAGCCCAAACCATAACCCTTGCTGCCCAAAACCCTCCCTAAGCCAAGCCATAACCCACAAACCTTCTCCCACAAACATCCAAAACCATTTTTATCTGTCCAAATAAAGTCTTTGTTATTCATTACTAAGCCCAGGCCGAAGGTGAACAACAAAAGGCAGAATAAAACCTTTGTTTATTTTTTTGACATAATAATCGATTATCTAACATAGATAATCGACTATTGCTTCCCTCTGAATTCTCCTAACATAGTCCAGCAATGTTTCATAATCGATTATCTCCCAATTGATAATCGATTAACACTCATCTTTGAAAATATCCGGTTTGATGAACCAGTCCTTGTTAATCGATTATTTCTGAAGAGTTAATCGACTATTTGACACCTCTGAAAATTCTTGGTTTAGAAAACATATCTTATTAATCGATTATCAGTAGGCGATAATCGATTATCACACAACTCTGAACTCAGAAATCAGTAAAGTGGTTTTTGATTTAACAGTAAAGATTTTGTCATTTAGGAACACACTTGACTAAATATCATTCCCACTATATATGGACGAAATTCCCATGTTATTATTCAACAAAATCAAAGACTTTTATAAGCTTAATCCCTCACCCATGTGCCTGCCCAAAAAGTCTTTGATTGAATAGTAATATTCTGTCCTATATTTCACTAGAAGTCAAGCCATGTTGTTTCCTTTATTCTTTCACCCTAAGGACGAAAATCATACATAAAACCACTCAAAATACAAGCCAAAATCCCTGATCATTAACCAAGAATTCAACTCATTTGGGATATTAACACATGCACAGCATTTGTTTTATTTTGTAGGAAAGAAGTGGGAAGTTTCCTTTGTTGTATTTTATTTTTGTTGTATTGTTTTCTCCATTCCATGGCCTATATATTTCAGCCCTGGATCAATGTATAATCAGCTTGTAAAATATATTGTGATAATATAAGTTTCTTGCTCAGTTCTCTCTCTAAGTACTCTATATTAAATCCTAATTCTATATCTTAAGAGTGGTTCTCTTAAGTGGGAGTTTTAGGTTCTAGATATATTAAATAAGTTGAGTGATTCCTTATTTTAATACTAGAGTTTAACCTGAGTGAAGATAAGTGTGTGTGATTCCTCTTATCATTCACTTGATAAATGCTTCTTTCCCTCTCCCTTGTTTATTCCTGAATTCAGCCTCCCCTATATTTCTACACCTTCTCTTCTTCTTTCTCTTCTTAAATTGATATCCTAGACCACCCCGGGTCTCGGGTACAACACCCCCCTTTGCGTGTGTGTGTTGTGGAAACTGAGCAATTAATCAAGAGAAGAAATAATAGAAGACAAGTCTCCCTGTGGAAGAATGACCCTACTTACCACTTTGCTACCATTTTTATAAGTGTGTAGTAATTGGGGAATTGGTTAATTTGTTATCACCTGACAAGTGGCTAACAAATTTTGGCGCCGTTGCCGGGGAGATTTGATCTCTTCTATCTTTTCTAACTGTCATACTAGGTCTTTTTAAGTTGTTTTTGTGAACATCTGTGTCTTTTGCACACTGATAAAAATTCACCAAAGTGCAAACTCTTCTCTTCTGCTGTGACTCACTGTTGAGTTGGCACTAACCCTTGTTTTAAGTGTTGTGTCAGTATCTGCCTTTTGATGCAGTTAAGAAGTGGTTTGGAGACCACAAGGGTAAGTGTTGATTTAAATTTGGAGAATCAGGTCAGTATATCTGAGGTTGCT